TCCCCCCTCCGGATGATAAAATGGTGTGAATCGTGGCTTTCTTTCTGTCATAAGGGAATCCTACCAATGAGCTTCCATAGTAAAAGCCAACATTTAAGAGTTTGCTGCTGCACGTTTATTACTTTTATGTTAATCCGTACTCGCACGCCGTTCAATTGCAGCTTTTCCTCGACTGCTTACGCCCACATCGCATCGACAAAGTGGCAGAAACCATTAAATGAATCTCCACTACCTTTGGTCATAAATTCACGCTATTTTGTCCATTCTGGGTTAAATGACATCCTGGTTTCGAGAGGACGCTAACTTTAATACTTAGCATCAGTAATTCTGATCCTTGTTTACTTTTGTGACCAATGACAAGCTGCCACTCTTAGCCAATCATCTGTTAGATCAGATAGTGATGCATTTTTGATGATTGGATATTGTGCTGCAGCCCAGCAAAAAAAAAATAAATAAATAAAATAAAAATCTACTCTACAAGTCTAGTGTCTCATTAAGGAGGACAAATACATGTCCGGGTGAATGCGGCGCTGGACAGATGGTGAGAGGAAGCCTCATGAGGCATTTGAACCATATGACCAAATGGCTTCAACGATTCCCACAGTTCATAAAGCCTCATGTGAACATGTCACCACCTACTGGTGGAGTGCAGTACTACAGTTGGTAATATAATCTGGGATTCTTTTTTTCCCCCCATATAAATTCATTTGCTATTATGTTTCGTCTATATAATTAAAATCTTTAGTATGTGTTTTTTTTGTGTGTAAAATGTCTTGTCATTTTAGTAAAATAAGCTCAAGCAGACAGTGACAGACTTTGTGCAAATTGGGCAATGATGAGAAAATTAAAGGTGTTAGTCATTTATATTAAAACATAATAGTTTTTCCACAGTTTTTTGTTTTTAATCAGGTTAGAAGTTATGTGTTCAACCAATCATTTGGTTAAACCCATCAATCAAATTTTTTGTGTTTCTGCCAATCTATATTTATACAAGGGAAACAAATACAAAATAGTCACATTAGCCAAAATACTTGTTGTGTTTTATCACAACTTTTAAAAATCAGAGGTGGATCTTGGACCAACAAGCCATGGAATGGAACTCCATCTCTTACAGCTGACACCACTAAATAGATTACATATTCATAGAAAGCAATACTATTTAAAATCCATTACATCTGTGATTAGTGGCTTGCTCAGATTTTGATCATTACATTGTTTAATCTAACCAAACTAGTTTTAACCAACTAGATTGGTTGGAAAAAACACCAATATATTCTTAGAACTTATACAGACTCTATCCAACTCTCCTAAAAACTCCCACATCTTGACTGAACATAGAGGCTGTTAAATGCCTGCCGAAGTTCCGGGCAACTGAACCACTTCCTGAAGCGGTCACGTGGTATGACGGGTAGCGAGGCTTCGGACGTCATCCATTTTGGCTCATCCCCCGGATGAAGCAAGCCTCGATACGCGCCTCGCAGAAACGCCCCTTCCAGTACTCGATATACGCCTCGAAGCCTCGGCTCACCTCATAACATCACTACCACTTACCCACTGATCATGGCAAATATAGCTGCCATGAGACCCCGGATACAAGCGGCTGAAATTAGTTTTCTCCGTAGTGTGTCTGGGCTCTCCCTTAGAGATAGGGCTAGGAGCCGCTGCTCCTCCACATCGAGAGGAGCCAGCTGAGGTGGCTCAGGCATCTGATTAGGATGCCTCCTGAACGTCTCCCTGGTGAGGTGTTCCAGGCACGTCCTGCCGGGAGGAGGCCCAGGGGGAGACCCAGGACATGCTGGAGAGACTATGTTTCTCCGCTGGCCTGGGAGCGCCTTGGGATTCCCCGGAGGAGCTGGTCAAAGTGGCCTGGGAGAGGGACGTCTGGGCCTCCCTACTGAAGCTGCTACCCCCGCGACCCGACCCTGAATAAGGCGAAGAAGATGGATGGATGGATGGTGTTCCAGGCAAAGAAAGGATAGGTCAGCTCCGCCCAACCAGCTAGAGCAAGAAAGATGCTTCAGCTGTGCGTCAAAACTAAACTTGTACAAACATCAAAAATGAAGTAGCACTGGCGCGTTTTTGCTGTTCTAGGTGTAAATAGGGTAACCAGACGTCCTCTTTTTTCCGGACATGTCCCACTTTTTATACCTGCCTGGACAGCGGCGGCCCTGTACTCCCCCCACCTGCCGGGGCAAAGGGCCGCCAGTATCCAGGCTACCGTCACTGGGTTGGGTTTGTTAGCTCGGTCCCAAGCCCAGGAGCTCACGGCTCGGTTCTGCTGCACTGTAGTCGACCAAAATCCCAGTCCAGTGCAGTCACCATAGGTGTGAACGTAGCATAACAGTGGCTAGCTACCAACCATGGCGTCCTGCACGAGCATCAATGCCATC